CGTTGGTGGGTTTTCTCAGGCATCTCCTTTCACAGGTGTTAATTTTACGTAGGTTAGCCTTTGATAACATCAAAGTCTGGCACTGGTAGCACAGTGCTGGTATAAATATGCTGTTTATAATCTATTTCTTGGCCCTCACACTTATGTTTGGATGACTTAATAATGGTGTCATTTATTATATAAGTGCACTGGCTCATTATCACCTTGTTTCTATTTCCCGATCAATTCTTCCATCCTCTAAGACTTTACTTTCTAAATTTTCTAATTCTTCAACTTGCTTTAGATAAGTACCATGCAACCCGTTAAGTAGAGGACTAGGTATTCTGCTGACCTGCTCTGGGAATATAGCAGAAGAAAATGCTGGGTTTGCGGTGTCCCAGGGCAGTGGGTTAAGCTGTAAGCCCTTTACTGTACTCATATTTTTGTTTCAAGGCACAAACAAAATTTAAAGTTTTCCAGATTTTACAAATTCCCAACATGGTATAAGAAGTAGCAAAGAGTAATTGTAATCTGAAGTAAATTTAGTAAACATGCAAAAACAATTGGCTTCATTGATGTTCACTGTCTTGTAAACCGTAAACACCACAGATTTCAAGTGTCTGTTCCAAAACAAACACAAAAAATATTCCAGATTTCCTAAAATGTATAAAATACCAACATGGAATAAGCAATAACATACAGTAGATTTCTCCTCTTCTTAGCCTTCACAGGCTGTAAACTCCGGAGGAAATTTTTGGTTGTTTGTCAACTTTTATACTTTGGTCTTGTTCAAAGACTTTAGTTTTAATGCAGATTCATTTTACAAAGCTGGCCTAAATCTATGCAGATTGTTGGTTCCTTGCTTCTCAGGCAAATGCACTCCCAACTTCAATGGAACCACACCAAATTAGTCCCTTTTTAAAACAAGCTTGTCAGCAAGGCAGTAGGTCCAAAACCTTGTTTTTTTTAACACAAAATGAGGACCAAGAAACCATATGGGGAATATACAATAGATGTATTTTTGGGTTGTCAAATCTGCTGTCTTTCCCATGTGGGTTATGGAGCCCATTTTGGATCCAGTTCCCTTAACCAGCACGAACAAGCAGCAAATAATTAAGGGTGCACTAAAATCGGATGTGTTAGACCAAGAGTGGCAGATATTGCAGCCTGGCACATTGTGCTGTGAAAGTTCAAAAGCAAATGCAGAAGAATAAGAAAAAGAAAACATCTCAATGCTTTTTTTTTCGGGAGTTATTAGTCAAATATTCAGTGAGGCATACCAATTTTTTAAATAATGTACAACAAAAGTTTAAAATAAGCAGACCAAACAGTTTCAACATTATGTATATAGCAACAACAAAAACCCCTCAAAACTTACACAAATTAACATCTGGTTCATTAATATAAATAGAATAATTTATGTGAAAATGACAACAGCCGATTTGTATAACATGACATTAATTATAAATATATAAAAAATGTACAAAACCATCAATGACAAGCAACAAAATTAAACTTCAGTTTACAAATAATAAGCAAGCAATTTTGTTAACATAGAAAAAGTCTTCGTGATTGTTAACTAACATACAACTTCAGTTTATATCTGTTAAGCCACAAGACTAGAATTTCCCAGACAAAAGAAGCTAAAAGGGGGAAATATCACAATGGCTATAGATCTAAAGAAAACTGTTATAAGTTGTATTGAAAAAAAAAGTTTTCTTTAGATTTATAGACAACTGTTATTAAGTGTATTTGATAGATCATTACGGTCTGAGGAGAATGGCACTGCGAGGAGTTACAAGGGGATCTGGCCGACGCTCGACACTCGGGGGAGGGGCGAGACAGATATACAATCAGACTTGCTGCTGAAAATGGAGACGGAGTGCTTATGGGAGTGTCCCGAGGGCTGTGATGTCAATTCTAAATTCAACATTTAGGTGTATTGATTTACACAATATATACTGCACTTCTACCTTGCTTCTTCTTCTTTTGTCAATATCTGGCGAAAGCCAATGGAAAATCTTTAGTGCAAGACAGCCTGGCATATGACGCCACAACATCTAGCATGAGAATAGAGGTTGAGGCCGTAACTGCAGCTCTCTGATGGCTAGAGAACAAGATGCATACACATGTCGTAATTGTAACAGACTCTGAAAGCATGCTGAGAAAGGTGAAGACAGGGATGCTTCAAGCAGAGTGGCAAGCTTCATTGGAAAGGTAGTGAGCATACTTAGGATCTTTTCTCCATGCCCTACCGGAGTAGTGGGTAATGAACAGACAAACAGATTGGCTGGATCTGCACCACTGGGTGGTGAACTGATACATGACAAGGCAAATGTGGTCAAGGCCCTTTGGGAACAAGCAACGGAGTCAGTAGAGATAGAAGATTATTATGGCCTGGAGAGAATGAGGCATCTGGGTGTAACCAGAGGGTCTGGCCGGCTCACTACACTCAGAGCAAAGGCAAGACAGACATATAACCAGACTGTGACCGGTACCATCAGTATTGGAACTCTGTGCTGGCTGCTGAAGATGAGGACGGAGCATGCATGGGAACAAACCGAGTGCTGCGATGTCAATTCTGGACTCAACTCAACTATCTGCTTATGCTGCTAGGCGTCGCAGTTCATGAGACGAGCGGCAGCCGAATCAGGGCGCGCTCAGTCGCTTGATAGGCCATGATGTTATGCAGTCTCATGGTGTCAGTGACTCCTTCAATCCATCTTCTTCCCGGCCTTCCCCTGCCTCTTGATGTTTCAATTTTCAGGTTGTACACTCTGGCATCATTGGTTTCATTCTTATTAGATGACCAAATCTTGCATCTCCAAATGAAATATAGGTCCTTAAATAACTCACGCCAAGCTTCTTCTTATAGTCCATGCAGTGTGGCAAAGGTAGTCATGTCTGTCCACAACCATCTGTATCGTGTACTTTTAATCAGTTCTGACACAGATGATCCTCCACGCCATGAGGCGAAGCTGTTCAGCATCTTCTCTCTTGTTCTATCTGTCTCTTTTCCCCTCCAATTTTCTCATCACCACAATGTAATCCAGTTGTCTCCTTTTAATGACATAGCCAAAGAATGTAGTTTGTCTCCTTCTGATGTGGGCTTATTAAAAAAACTGGACTGTCCAGCTTAAGTTGCTTATTCCAACCCTCCTTAGTCATCTCTTATGAAACATATGGCAGGTTAATACCATGTTAGTTTTTTCTGTGTTCATCCAAAGATGTAATTGTGTTGTGCCTGTTTATAGCATGGCTGCAATATTTGTCTATGTCATTTTTTTTTGTACTGGTCCCAGTAAGACATATACAGTGGTACTTTGGAATTCAAACAGCTCAAAACTCAAACAACTTGGAATCCGCACAAAACTTTCAAGTTATTTTGCTTTGGAACTCGAACATCACTTTAAAAACCGAGTGTCTGGCATGTGCCGATCATGTGACTGAGCTGACATCAGAAGAGCACCTTCATCAGAAGCAAAAAGAAGAAACTGCAGAGGAAATTTTTTCCAGGAAGGAGGGGAACCTGGAAAGATTAGCACTGTTGAAATCCGAGAACTTTCTACCACGTGGTTGAAAACGAAAGAAGTTATTGAGAAGTGACACCCTGACAGAGCCCTAGTTAGCAGGTGTTATTCAATGACACCATTATTTAACATTTCAGGAAAATTAAAAATGGCTTCCAACGCCCAAGCCTTGGCTATCCAAAAAAAAAAAAACACTAGTGACCCCAAAGCCTCTTCAAGTAGAGAACGACAATATTTTATGAAACATCAGAAAGGATTCCTGATGTTATCATGGAAAGTGACTCATCTTCCAAACAATGATCTGCTTAAATCCCTTTATGCCTAGTGGCATAAGCAGATATTGACAAAAGAAGACAGAAAGTAAATACAATGTTTTTATATCTTGTTCATTTATTTCTGTTTGCATTCAAATATGATCACCATGTATCGCTATATTTACAGTGTACTGTATGAAGGTGAAAAAAAATTTGAAATTTGAGTTTGTCTGACCTGGAACAGATTTATTTAGTCAGAAAAAAATGTCTTTGAACTCAAATGATTTGGAATTCAGATGCCTTTGGAGAATGGACTATGACTTAATTCTGAGGTGCCCCTGTATATGACTACCATCTTAAAGAGAATTATGGGGGATTTGTATTGTGTTTTGCTTTGCTATCTACAAACTAGCTGAAGAACTCTTCTGTTAGCTGTGATTGGGACCGTGTTATGAGGCCTTGTAATTTTTAATCAAATTTGCAGCACTTCTTTTCCTTCGAGTTTACCAGCTGTAAACTCTGGCAGAAAGTTCTGGTTATTCGTCCACTTCTTAACTTTAGCCTTGTTTGGAAACTTGAGTTTTGCGTACACATCCGTTTGACAGATCTGGCTTATTTGTATGCAGACAGCTAGTTCCCCACCTCTCCGGCAGATGCATTCCAACTTAGGAGACCTCTTATTAGCTGGCTTTTATGACTCAGTTTGGAGAGGCAATCTGTCAACCCCCCCCCCCCCCCCCTTTCCCATAATGGGACCCCGAAAAACACACTGGGAACTTTCCTAATATATAACATTACAAGAGGCAAAACAAAATCATGTTAACTTATGACTGACAAGTAATAAAAAGGCTAAAATATTTAATCATGGCATGAAAGCATGTTGAACCAGACAATTCATCATCATCATAAAACCCGGGCCATACAAACCCGGGTGGATCAGTTACAGTAATGATAGTTTGGACATGTATGCAGAATAGAAGAGAGTCAGCCACCATGACAGGCCAAGAACAGGGAACACGATCTCCAGGATGACCCAGGGTTCACTGGGAAAAAAATCAGGGAATGTCGGAGGACTGGAATGGAAAAAGAGCAAAACAGAAAACTGCTAACAGAGAAGTCTGGCGATCTCTTGGGCAAACCTCTGCATCCCTGGGTAGGAAAATGATCGACTAAGCATGTTGTATTTATTTAAGATCTGACTCATGGTTTGAGAAGGTATCTAGTTCTGACAATTGTATCACAACAGTTTCTTGGCATTCGTTTGGTCCTGTGCTTCATCAGTTTCCGCACACTCCATTTCTGACCTCTCAACTGGTTGTCTGCAGCTTGGAGGACTCAGAAATTCTGTAAATCCCATTGGGACATTCTTGCTATCCTCCTTTTCAGATTGGACATGACCTGAAAACAAAAATGTTAACCCCATTTACTCAAAATGTATTTAAAACTAAATATTAAAACTCATGATTCTCAGAGGAACCTTCTATATCTACTTGAAAATGGAATGAGAATGAGAAATGATTCACTGTGCTTTACATCTCATGGAGGCTATACTTCTTGGAATGAGAATGAGAAACTATTCACTGTGCTTTACATCTAGTGGGGGCTAAACTTCTTCTTCGTGTTCACCGGCTGCAAACTCCATGGAAAAGTTCTGATTATTCATCCACTTCTGGACTTGAGTCTTGTTCCAGGACTTGAGAGTTGCCTGCATACCCATTTTACAGTCCTGGCTTTTATGTGCAGACTGTTGGTTCTGCCTCTCAAGCAGATGCACTCTGACTCTGAATGCAGTGCTGCATGGCAAGATCCTATACAGGTTGACCAGGCTCCTGTTTGGATGACCAGGGAGCAGTGTAGGCAGGTCTTAATCAGTTGAGCCCTGCATCAAGTGTTAGTATTGTACAGCACTTGTGCAAATCAGAGCTATGTAATATGGCTCCCTTTATTCCACCTAGCCACTTTAAAAATACACACAGGCACACAGACTGAATCAACACAGGTTTTGTTTAATTAAACATCAAATCAATAAATTAATATCATTATCATCATCGTCCTGTTATACCACTATATCTCACGAATGGTTTGTAGTTTATTTTTCTATTCTGCTCTATCCTGTGCAACTAATTTTATATCATGGATGGAATCTAATCTAGCACCATTTGCCTCTCTCATCGATCGTTTTAGCGTTTCTTTCTAGCATTCTCACTTATTCAATCCCTTCATTTCCCACTTTTATGCTTAAATATCCATGCATATCTCCCCTTTAATTCCTTTCTTGTGGAAACAAGAGTAAGGAGCCTATCCTTTAACAGTCACAACGTAAAAATAAAACTTAGATTTTTCTGTTAGCAAAAAATAAAATAAAAATGGAAAACAAAAACTGTCACTACCGTCTGTTTTACCATGTTTTTGGGCGTTGTAGACAGGGGGTCATGAGCATAAGGATTTAGGTTGCATGGCTAGTGCTGTCGCCATGGACTGTGCAGGTTGGGATGTTTAATTTAGCCCCCAACAGAAAAACTCCATCAAGCTACCGAGGGTTGAACCTGGGTCTCCTGCTTGAGAGCTCAACGTTATTACCATTTGGCCAGCCACTCCAGTTTCTATTAATAAACAACTTACATCACATACCCAAAGCAAAAAACAAAATAAAATACACAAAAACAAACATTCACAGAAAAAAAAGAATTTTTAAACTGTCAAACATAGCAACAATGTATCACAGAATACTTACCACTGGCTCCTCTGCCATTTTTATGACTGCCAGAACCATTCTCTGTAAACCTGGAAAATTAAGTCACATGCAGATTTAGTGTATGAATGACCTTATACACAATTGAAAGACATTAGATAATCATAGGGTAACTGATCACTTTATGTTCAAGTAAACACCAGAAGGCCAGGATAAGTTTTTGTTTTTAAACACTAAGTACAAACAGCTTTGCCAAATTTTAAGAATGTACCTGATAATACATTTCAATATACTCAGGACATTCTTAGTTTATCCTTGCTATTGGCAACATTTATTAACTCTTTCACCTCAAATAATCTTTTAATTGACCAGTTTCAACATTTTGCGGAAGAAAAAATACACATCCTTACAATTCTCAGAAAGTCTATTCTACAAACTGGCAGGAAAGGTACTTACTAACACTAAAGATCAAATGGACAGATGGGTTGAATATTTTGAAATGCTTCTAAATAGACCAGGCCCAGAGGTTCCCCCAGATATCCAGCCTTTAGAAATGGAACTGGATATCAACTGTGAGATACCATCCAAAGAGGAAATTAGAAAAGCTATAAATCTTCTCAAGGAAGGAAAGGCGACAGGCCCAGATGGTATCCCAGCTGAAGCCATCAGGACCAACATAAACACATCAACAGAATTGCTACATAGATTATTCAGTAAAGTCTGGGAGACAGAAGAAATACCAGCAGACTGGAGAGAAGGATATCTTGTGAAACTGCCCAAAAAAGGTGATCTACAGGAGTGTGAAAACTATAGAGGAATTATGTTGCTGTCAGTTCCTGGAAAAATATTAAGTAGAATTATTTTGGAAAGATTAAAAGATGCTATTGATAAAATGCTAAGAGATGAGCAGGCAGGTTTTCGGTCAAACAGATTCTGTACTGATCAGATAGCCACACTACGTATTATAATAGAGCAAAGCATTGAACTGAACTCACCACTTTACATTGGATTTATAGACTATGAAAAAGCATTTGACAGCATAGATAGGGAATCTCTCTGGAAATTGATGGGGCACTATGGAATCCCACAGAAAATTATCAACTTAGTAAAGGCAACATATAAAGACATGAATTGTCGAGTTCTTCATGAGGGAAAGCTAATAGATCCATTGAAATAAAAACAGGTGTGCGACAGGGATGTCTTTTGTCGCCTCTCTTATTTTTACTGGCTATAGACTGGACTATGAAAACAGTAACTGCTAACACCAAGAATGGAACTCAGTGGACCCCTACAAAACAGCTTGATGATCTGGACTTCGCTGATGATATTGCTCTTCTGTCCCATTCACGGAATCAGATGCAAGATAAATTAAATATACTTAATGCGAGATCACAGCAGCTTGGTCTGAAAATCCATAAAGGAAAGACAAAGATAATGAGAATAAATCAGGCAAATAGTAATGTGGTTTCTCTTAATGGCACCCCACTCCAAGACGTGGAGTCCTACACCTATTTAGGCAGTAATGTAGATAAAGATGGAGGAACTGATAGAGATATTAAAATAATAATACAAAAGGCAAGAGGGGCTTTCATAGCACTAGGGAATTTGTGGAGGTCAAAAGAAATTAAAAGAAATACTAAACTAAAAATTTTTAATTCTAATGTCAAATCAGTACTATTGTATGGGGCGGAAACATGGAGAACAACCAAGGCAATTACTAATAAATTACAGACATTCATTAACTGGTGCCTGCGCAGAATAGAGGGAATAAAATGGTATGATAGAATAACTAATGAAGAACTTTGGGAGAGAACTAAACAGGCTCCAGTGGATCAGGAAGTGAGGAAAAGACGCTGGCGTTGGATAGGGCACACACTGAGAAAACAGGAGAACAGTATTACTAGAATGTCTTTGCATTGGAAACCACAGGGGCATAGGAATAAAGGAAGGCCAAAAAACACATGGAGAAGAGAGCTGGAGAACGAGGTTAGAAAGATTGGGAGGACATGGGGAGAACTCCATGCAATGGCGAAGGATAGAACGACTTGGCGTGAGTTGGTTGAGGGCCTATGCTCCATTGGGGGATATAACAGCAGAAGAAGAAGAAGAAGAAGAAGAAGGGAAGTAATTAATAAATATAAATGGACCAAATAATATAACAGTTTACATTTTCCCTGCCATTTCAAAAGTGATTAACCACGTGAAGCTAGGTGATAGAATGAGATTATGTTGAAATAACGCATTAATAGACAATTTTTAAAACGCTTTTTTTTTCACTCCAAAAATATTCACTTTTTTTGTGTGTATGGTAAAAATAATCATATCCATAAGTCTATATGCCGTGCAGTTGCAACTATCAACACACCTGTTATATAGGTATAGTGGCCACTACCTAAGGACTTTATGTTATCAAAAACCCACAAATAAAGCAAAAACTACTCTCTCGAGGCAGCTGAGTTACATCAGGTACAAGTAGAAGTTATCTGCTCAAAATTCAACATTTTCCACTTAGGTAATCAATATTCGCTATTCTGGGTATTTACATTTTGTTACTAAAAAGTTTTTCAGTAAATTTTAATTGTTTTCAAGAACATGTAGCGCATAACATATTTATTACTATCTCCGTGCTTTTATTTTTTCTTCTGCCTCTTTCTCTTCTTACAAAAACCTGCATTCGAGAAAAGACCAAGAACCTGAGAATTCCTGGAGGAAAAATACTTTTTTTTTTAAACATTTTATATAGGTCACTAATAGATTTTCCACAAAAAAAAGGTAGTAATGAATAAACATGATCTCCGCAAGAAGAATAAAATGGATTTGTCCCTCAGGCATAATAAAAGTGTACTGGGTAGCTCACGCCATGACTCCATTACCACTAAGATTAAGGCAAGTTATGACATCATCAGAATTTTTTTTAGTCACTTTTATTCAACCAAATGCCTCTTAAATCCGTTTTGTTTTAATTAGTAAATATAACCATATCCAGGCCTTGTAAACACTGCGAAGGCACAAACAGAACCAATACTATGCTTAACATCAAACTTTCAGTGTACAATCCCAGAGAGGATAAAGCAACAAAAATAAATTTTTAAGAAAAGATTTACCTGGTAAAATCTGAGGCACCATTTGTACTCGCTGATGCTTCAGCCTCATCTCCATCGTCATCATCACCTCCACTTTCATCATCAGAAATCACATGTGCTGAATTTTGGTTCAAAATCTGTGACCTGTCCCCAATAAGCACATTAGTTGCCTGTGCCACAGTGATGGTTTTCTTGTGGTGGTGGTGGTGTATATGTTGTATGACAGAAGTTGCTGCACTACTAGGCCCAGCAGAGAGAGTCCTGTCTGACTTGGTAGAGGAATGAGCATCAGCTGCCTGTCCTGTTTCAGAACAGCTTGTCTCAAAGCTTCTTTGCTGAGCTGGCAATGGGGTATGAGACTGAGGCTGCTGGGCAGTGTTGGCATGTGCTCCTTCTGCTGGCTGATTAATTTGGGGATCTGATGTTGGAATGTGTCTGTCTGAAGCTGGTTGTGGATGAAATGGAACATTAGACTCTGAAAGGTTCTCCAATGGAGGCCAATGGTGGCTTAAACCGGGTAAAGAAGCAAAAGCACTGAGAGCACCTGTTGATAAACTGTGTGACAGATCAGACTGCACTGAATCTGGTGTATTGCCTTCCATAGATGTTTGAGTGCTGTCATTACTTGGTGTTACCAAACTTGCCTGACTACTTGATCTCAAATCACTTTGGTAGAAAAAACTAGGTGGAGGAATGGGGTTTGCATAGGAGTACAAATCTTGCAATGTACGAGGCTGCACTTGTGGATAATAAGGAAAGGATGGGTACATCTGTGGGTGTAGGTGAGAATGACAGTATGGATAAAAAGCATCTGGCAGCAATGGGGTAAAGTATCTAGGCATGTAAAAAGGTGATCCCTGAACATTTACATAATTTGGCAAGGGATGATGCACTTGACCAAGCATTGGTGAAGCTGTAGGATGATCAGGGGTGGTTATTCCACTTGGCATCATGTGTGGACCACTGGTATTTGCATAGGAAGTGTTGTTATATTGAAGCGATGAAGCCATTGTGGTTGGTGCCGACCTGTGCTGGCACACATGCGGTGCCTGATTCTCATGAACAGGAACGGATAAAGAGTCATCATCAGGCCCATCTATATCAACTGAATTTAATTCATCTGCAGTTAAACTGTTATTTATATTGCTTCTGTGTTCCAAATCACTATATTTTGCATTCATAGGTGAAATGTGTGACTGATGAGGAATGCCTTGATTCTGCCCTTTGTGGCTTCTGCTCCATGCCTGTTTGGGTATGCCCTGACCCTGTATTTCATGGCTTCTGTCTGATGTCTGTTGGGATCTGCCTTGATGTTGCTGTTCTTGACTTTTGCCTGGTGCCTGCTGTGGGTGGTGTTCATTTAGCCTCTCACGGTTTCTGCCTGGTGCCTGCTGTGTTAGGTCTTCGTTTAGCCTCTCACGGCTTCTGGCTGGTGCCTGCTGTGTTAGGTCTTCATTTAGCCTCTCACGGCTTCTGGATGGTGCCTGCTGTGTTAGGTCTTCGTTTAGCCTCTCACGGCTTATGCCTGATGTCTGCTGTGTTAGGTCTTCATTTAGCCTCTCACGGTTTCTGGCTGAGGCCTGCTGTGTTAGGTCTTCATTTAGCCTCTCATGGCTTCGGACTGATCCCTGAAGCAGTAGGTTATGATTTTGCCTTTCATGACTTCTACCTGACACATTCTGGTGCATGCCTTGATTCTGCCTTTCATGGCTTCTCCCTGATGCATGTTGGGGCGTTTCTTGACCCTGCCTGTCTTGGCTTCTGCCTGATGCTTCCTGTAGCCTTCTCTGACTCATTTCACTGCTTCTTTCAGACTGCTGATGTTCTTCTTCTTGATTTGACCTTTGCCTACTTCCGTCAGTTGGTGAGCGCCTAATATTCACGTGAAGATCATTATTTTGATCAACTGCTACATTGGCAGCAGCTGCCATTGCTTCCATTCTCTCTTCCACAACAAGTAAGCTCTCATCAGGCAATGCTTTATCAAGTGCGCTTGTGAACGAAGAATA